TTATTAAAAAAAGAATTATTTAAAAACATGTTGACATCAACAAAGCTAACATCTTAGGCAACTAAGAAGTGTGTGTTTACGCTTTATTATAATAGTAGAGATTTATAAAGTTAAAGCATGTAATATGTGTTAATTTAGAAAACGTCAGGAAATAACACTGTTTTAACAATTAGGAATTTACATATTCACGCGAACATATCTGTAGGTAAAAGCTAGTTCTATAATGTTTCGAAAGTAAATCTTATCAATGCTATATGAAAGGAATATTAATAAAGCTGATCTTTGAATTACCCTTATAACGTTATCTTAAATAACTGGAAAAAAAATCTTAATCAGGATGTTTAGGAAGCCTTTTTCTAAGTCTCATAGACCAGCATTTAAAAGCATCTTTACCTATAACATTTAATTAGTCAGTTTATATGTAATTATTTTAAAAGCAAAGAGTTTCTTAGCAGTAAGGTGCGATACAGAAGTATACAAAGCGGATTCAAAGGCCAAAGGCTGTTCCTTTCTAAGATGTAGCTTTGAGAATCGCGATTAACTTCAAGTTCTCTTAAAGCAAATTATAATTAAAACTTTTATAAAGCAATTTGAAACACGAACGTAATTAAATTAAAAAAGTGTAGGAGGTATTTTTATCTATATAATCTATAGGAGAAGACCGAAGAATATATGATATATGAAAGAAGATATGGTTAAGAAGGGAGTGATTTCAGATATGAAAGATAGAGATGTATAGAAAAAACTAGTTACTATGAAGATAAGATAATAATTTCTTCATTAACTATAAGTCCTATTTATGAATAATTGTCTGGAGGCGATGTTTCAGAGTTATATTAGCGCGGCTGGTGGCTTTGCGATAAGAAATAATGAATACTTATGTTTGTAACAAAGGCAAAAGTGGCCCTTGAACGAGATGTAATTGCTTTCTCATCTCTGTACTATATTGTAACAAAGAGGTGTTCATCAAGAGTACTGTATGATAGCGTTTTCGTCTGATGGACGTTTTACTCTTGAGATTTTGACGAATTGTAAATTACACTTGTAACTCTAACCAGAGAGTCATGTCTATGTGATAATTGATTTAGTACAGTACTTGTTTATTGAATTTAATTCGTGAAATACATTGTACTATATCGCTAGAGGTCGCTAGTGTGCCTAAACCGCAGCTTCGACACGAAAAGGGCGGGAGGCCATTTCATTGCCTCAAATGCAAAGCTCGTAAAAGTATGTTGAAATGTTGTTTAAACTATTGCATATTTATAAATGAGATGTAGAAATTAACAGCAAAAACGAGAGTTTGGAAATTCCAAAGGAATTTCATCAACAATCATGCCATTCAATTGTTCATACATTCAGTTCGTTTGTTCAGAAACCTGAATGTACAATCCGACAGAAAAACAAATAGTTGAATGTTTAATAGAAAGCGGATATTGCAGGCGGACTGTGGGGAGCACAAGTTGAAACGGGTAATTAATTCTCCTCAGCGGAGGTACAGTCGCGCACTGCGGTACAGTCGCCACCAAACGAGTTCAAACGTTCACAAACAGCTCTAACTTCAGTCGTTGCCTTTTTTCGTTAATCTCCTCTGACCCGATACGAGTTATGAAATAAGGTTTCGTTTGAAATTCAACAGTGTTCAAAAATAACATTTTAAATTATTGCATCGTATTAGAAATTTATTTTTTTAACTTGTATTTGGATTTTTGTTTACAAAACTCGTCGTCAGCCTGTGTTAATCTGAACAACTGAAATTATTCTTCTATTTAGTTAAGTTTGCACAAATCGCAAAACATTTTAGCTAAGTCAACAATTTAATTCAAACAAGACGTTAGCACACGCAGTTCTTACGTTAGAGTATTGTTTCAAGAACTCAAATAGTAACTTCACCCGATAAATAGATGTTAACATTCTCTTCAAATCTCAACTCTCGAGACATACATCTAATGTAATAAAATATAGTCTTAAAGAGTGGAATTAAAGTAACTGAAAGGTAATAAATTACATTTGTAAAAGTGGACTAGAAGGTAAGGATAAATTTAATTTTACCCTCATGTTAAAGGAGACTTATTTCGGAAATGTTGGAAATCAGTAAAGAAATACTTGTAGATAGTACTTACATACTCTCATAGTACTTACATATCTCGTTCGTTAAATATTTTCACAGAGAATATATTTGTATATATTATAAAGAGGAAAACTTTATTTGATTGTAATGAATAGACTCAAAAACTACTTGGGCGATTTTAAAAATTCTTTCACCGTTAGAAATATAATTTAATTGAGAGTAACTTAGTCTGTATCTTTTACTTCTTTATCATTATTTTAAATTTCCCGCGAACGGAGTGGCGGGCAAAAGCTAGTTAAGATTAAGAAAGAATTCCTGCTGCAAAGTAAAGCTCAGTTTGATTAAACCAAACAATAAAAATACATATAGAAAAGTCTTTTAAATCCAACAATTTTGTTTTTAATTTTTTTCTATGCGTACATTTATTATCGAAAAACAATTAAAAAGCATTTACATTGCAAACTGTTTCGAAATGTTGTCGTTAAATTTATGAACGAACTGTGAAATGTGTTCTAAACGAAAACGCATTAGCGAATATTTTTATTGCATTTAGAATTTTTAAACGACATTTATGAAATAAAATGCTATCAACTTGAAACTTTTTGTTCGGTACTTGTACCGCGACTTGTTAAAAGTCTTTACTATTTATTGTCCAAACTACTTATATTAAGAGGACAGATTATAGAATAGAAAACTACTGGGCTTATTTCAAAAATGCTTTCACTATTAAAAGCTACGTTATAAGCTAGTAAAATAGAAAAAAGTAAAAGTATGGATGGATTGTGTGAAAGAGGATATGCTTAAGAAAGGAGTGGATTCAGATATGACAGCTGATAGAGATGTATGGAAGAGCAGCACATACTGTGCCGACCCTCCATAAAGGATAAGTGCAAGTTGATGATAAGCTAGTATAATAGGCTATAATATTTTATTAAATTTCACGCGGATGTAGTCCCGAGCAAAAGCTAATTGAATAACTGGGAACTTAAGTGTAAAAAAACTTGTGTTCCATTTGTTCTAATTATAAACTATATTGAATTGGACAAATACATTGTTACGATGTAAACACGAGGGTCGCTCGTTACCAGGAGCACAGACTTCCGGCAAAGTTTCTCCCACGCCCACGCCTACGTATGCTAGCACTAAATCGTATTAATTAAAAGTTCCTACACTTCGACATGCAGCTACGAATGTCTACGAAAATCATATGTACATTACAAATATGCTTTATATTTACTTGGAGTTGCTCGCGATTATCCAAGCGGAATTAAAAAAATATAACCTATGTTACTCACTGATAACCTAGCTTTTTATTAGTGAAAGATTTTTTAAATCCGTCCAAAAGTTTTTGAGTTATTTTAATACATACAAAAATATAAAAATACAATCAATGTAAAGATTATCACTCAGATATTTTGTGTACTCAGAGATAACTCAATTTATAATTTTTTTTTATTCAAATAAAAGAAAAATATCTAAACCAATTGCATGAAATACATTTTAATCCTGTAAGTGGAATCGAATTATTTCAATATGACATTTGTTTGTAGAGTTAAAAATTACCTATTGTAAATAACGCATCCTAGTTACACTCGCGTGATACATACTTCTGCGCTGTGCCTCTCACGATGTCGGCAGTTGTTAAAGTTACACTCAACTTGCAGGAAAACTGTATTTGTCGGAACTATACGGCACTCAGTATTGTTAAGCAATACAGTATTGGAATGTTTTGTATGAATTCGCATTATTTCTCTAACCTCTTTCAACCACATTTGTAATTTGAAATTAGCAACATATTAAACCGAAAAACGATAATAGTCGATCTAAGTTTTTTTATTTCCATATGAAATATACATAGTAATTGGATGTCCCATTAATATACTAATATTATAAAGAGAAAAGATATGTAACTAATTTTGTTTTTATTGAAATAACTACAAAAAAATAGGGCCGATTTAAAAATTGTTTCACAATTAAAAAGCTGCATTATCAGTGAGTAACATAGGCTCATATTTTCTTAAAATTTCAAGTGGATAAAGTCGCGAGCAACAGCTAGTCTCCTATAGCTACCAAAAATAATCTTAGCTAAGTTATTTTCAGAATAATACGTTTAATACTAACCAGATATTTTGAGAATCGTTTTTATAATACCGTAACAAAGATTGGGCTGAGATTAAATTGGCCAAATTCCGATAAAAGGCGTGTCTACGTTCATAGCGACAGACGACCGGACGGCTGTAATTAATGAATACAGAAACTCAATTATAATATTTATTACAATAAGTAATAAAAAAGAAAAAACTGTTAAATTTAAGTGTTTATTTAAATAAAAGACGAATAGACAACGAAGAAAATATTGTTTCCTGATAATTTCAGTGCCAATTTTAGCTTTTGCATAAGACTGATTTGAGAGCTGTATCAAGTCATTTTGACGATGATTTCATGAGGTCGTGGTTTTGACAGCGTCATCAGGTTTGATGCAATTCGACGTTATTCTCACAGACAATACTCCCTGATGAAGACAAAGGCATCTATTGTCTGGTAGATTGAACGACGACCTGGAGACTATCGTCAATGCGTTAACGTCTCCAAACTGAACACATTTGCCAGTCATTTTAATTGTATTTAATGTAACAGTATAGAAATAGTAACTTATTTTTGCACTATAGTTTTATCTACATTGACATTGTTTTCATATTTATAAGAATTAAGAAATGATCATTATCAAATAGCAAGTTTACAAAGGAACTTTATGTGGCGAAAGTGTGAGGCAGGATTGGAAGGACTTAACAGTGCCAATTTTAAATGTTTTACTATAACTTAGAAGGAGTAAGAGAATCATGTGAGAGTTATTCACAGACCTGTGGCGCCCCCTAGCTGTCAAGCGCCTTGAGCCGTCACCAAATCGTGCCCAGTTTTAACGCTTATATATAGAGACCAGATTGTTGAAATACTTAAGAAGAGAAAAGTTCTCGAAACCGATATCATTAGACGTACAAATGTGGAAGAGGTAAGACTCCACTAAATTAACGTTCATTTTCTCTGTCAATTGTTCAAATCAATAAAATATAAGTCTAATGCCGAAGATAATAATTTATTAAATTAACAGGCCGTGCACAATTCGCGTAGATGAACCTTGTGGACCCTTCCCTGCCCTACCCCCCGTCACCAGGCTGCCCCTGTGTTTACGCAGACTTGTGACCCCGGTGTCATCTTTCAGAAGTTTTACTAAAACAAATAAATAACAGGAAAAAATGCATACGTTAAATAATTTTGAAAACCAACTAGCCAAAAATATATCGTAACAAAACGGAAAAGTAAAATAATGTTTACCCAATGTTTTGGTTTCGTTGAAAGACTGACGTCGAATGGGCTTGTTGAGTTCCTGTTTGAATTTATAAGCTGCTCGGTTCCAGACTTGCTGGAAGTGCTTTATCACATTCGAGTTGGTCAACTGCTTGAGCACACTTTGGACGTCTTCCATGTTCGCAGTTAGCAGGATATACGAGTAGCTTCCATGGATAAATATTAAGGCAACTGGGGGTTAGATAATGTCATTACGAGCGATTTATTTTTGCTTTGTTAAAAAATAGATAAATCATAAACCTACCAGTACACAATACTATTTTGTCCATAACCGTATTTGTAATAGACGCAAATATAGTTTGAAATAGGAAATAAATCTGTTAATCACCATAACTACAAAGTAATTTCTATGTTCGAGATATCAAATAATTAGTTAACGTAAAACAAGTTGTAATTTAAATTAAGTGTTTATTTTTACTTGATTACGAATTTTAACAGCGCGTTACCGATTTCGACTGTCAATTGGCATAACGATGTTTTGATTTGGATAACCAAAATCGTAGTTTATGAATTCTAGAAAAAATATACTCGTATTATTTTATTGACAAAAACAAAAATGAAATTGAAAAAAGCATTCTATATAAATAAAATGTCTTTAATAATAAACAAAGAGGTTTTTATTCCTTTTCAACTGGTATTACTATAACATAAGCATAGCAATATTGTTTTGACAGCTGTCACTTGTTGTTTTTGTGGAATTTTGCGAATATTGTGCAAATCATTTTCATAATATAAATTATATCTTTATTTACTCACAATGGAGGAAAACCTCCAGCATGAAGATTTGCTTATAAAGCTACGCGGCAAACTGAACGAGGAGAAGATCAAGCTATGGGAACCGCCCTATTTGGGCACCGACGATTTGTTCACACAAAGTTTTCAGGTTCTTTGTTTACCTTTTTTATTTTTGTGTCTATACTCAATTTTAAATCTAGTTTGTCCTCAGTGTTTGTACAAATTCCTTACACATGCCTTTTTAAATGTTAATTATATAAATTTGCCAATTATTTACTAAGTAGTTGGAACGTAAATTGGACTAAACTAGGCCTCTTGTTTTTTAGGAATTAGCAACCAAGTATGCATCAGATCTATCATTGGATGAACATTTAGTTCTTGCAGCATTGCATGAGCTGCAACTGCGGTCTATCGAAAGGGTGAAGGCCAATGAGGAGTTCAAAGACACAGGGTTGGCAACATTCCGGATCAAAGTGACAATACCGAAGGAAAAGCCAAAAACACTAAAGTTACAGAAGACTTTAGATGTGCCAGGGTCTGAACTCTTGAATGCGGTCGCTGCGGAAATTGGTGTTGAAGAATCTAGGTAATGTTATTTATATTTAGTAAATAATATTTTTTTTAATGTAACAGTTTTAAAGCATCAAACAAAACAATTAAACTTGTATTTTGACTGACATAATTTAGAATCTTAATTGCAGGTTAAAGTTGATCTCTAATGGTAAATTAGTGAAATCCAGTTTGACTTTAAATGAGCAAAATGTTAAAAATGGCACCCAACTGATGGCACTTGTGTTGGATGGTAAGTTATTTTAGTTCTTTGCATATTTATATTGTACCCGTATATTAAAACTGTTGCATGCGGTTCCACCCTTGTGATATTAAGAAATAGTAAAAATTATAACCTATGTTACTCAATGATAATGTAGCTTTTCAATTGTGAAAGAAATTTTGAAATCAGTAGTAGATTTTGAGTTATTGCAATACATACAAAAATACAAATCTTTCTTTATAATATTAGTAGTTATATAGTTAATTATCATTTGCAGCCAGTCCAGATGAGGTGAAGAAAGAAGACAACTTGTATATAGAAATGAAGACAACCAGAGATGATGCGACCATGCTCTCCGAGTATGTGAGCCAGCTGGCTGAATATGATGAATACATGAAGGTAAGCAGAATTGTCTGAAAAATAAATGAGGCTGTTGCTAAGCTAAGTATGGACTGCTGCAAGATGGACTAATGATTGTACTGGAAGAGGGTGGCATAGTACCGGGCATTGTGGTAATCTATGAGGTCTATGCCCTGCATTGTTAATGTATTTGGAGTTTATACACATATGGGCAATGGAAGTACTTTCTCAAAACTAACAAAAACTTTATTTCAACAAAGATATTTTGCTTAAAATCAATGAACGAACGATTTTCGTATTTATTACTACAACTAGAAAGTAACATTTCCCCAGCTGGAAGACCAGTCGGGCAAGGCAGTGGATCTGCCTCCTGCGGAGAAGAAGTCCCTCCTGGTAGGGCTGGCGATGCACGAGCGAGGCCGGGCAGCTATCAAGCAGAAGGACTATTCACTCGCTTTGGTCTTGCTACTGGAAGCCGATAGACAGTTCAAGTAAGCTTGAGCGCTAGCTTAAACTTGTCATGTGTAAGTTAACATAATGTCATCATATACCCGCTTGCTGTAATTTTCATAGAATATTTAAGTAATTTGTAAGTGGTTTTATTCCATCTTCAGGAACACAATCAGTGCAGGAATGGCTTAGTCCGTCCTGCATATGCTGAGCTGGCTACCTTTTGCCACAATTATGTTTTCTTTAAGTCCTTTTATGTAAATTCTTTTCTGTGGCTATAAATACATATTCATTCATTCATCTTTCACGTAATTTTAAATAGATGTAGAAAAGCTTTATTCCTATTAACTTTTGCCCATGATTTTGTACACATGAAAAAAAAAAAAAAAGGAAGTTGTGCTCGATGTGTATGCG